TGAGCTCACTCAAAAACTATGAAAGTGAAAAAATAGAGAATGTCGTAACCCCTATTTGGTAACCGCTCTTTAATTTATATGAAGAGAGAGGAGAGAGTTTCCTTATAATTGTATTTACAATTATACCCTCAATAACTCTATATTTTATATTTAACCCCCATCACATTAAATCATTAATTAGAGTCATGCTATAAGTTATATAGGTCACTATAATAAGTTACATAAGTTGATTTCATTAGAATAAGAAAAATCTACTATTAAGAAATGAGATGGATTATTTTATAGCAAGCATACACCAAAAACCCTATATAGTTGCACTAAAAGATTAAATGACCATTTTGTAGCATGCTTTTATTCAAAAAAATGAAGAAAACTGAATTTGGCATAAAAGACTTATGCATGCTAGTCTAAACCATAATTCAAAACTTTGTAAGAAATATCCTGTGAAAGAATTGTCTAAAATCTCTTTCGAAAGTGATATATTATGTTAACTATGTGAAAAAAAAAAAAAAAACAAACGAAAACTCCTTTTAATTTTTTTTTTCCATCGTAGTAAGTTTTGTAGGAAAAATAATATGATTTTTTTCATAGATAACTATATAAAAATAACATGACTTTACTTTCAATCCCAAAACAATGAGTCTTTTGAGCATTTTTAAAGTATTATATTAGAACATTTAAAATGAAAAGGTTTTTGTACAATTTTTATTAGAAACAATTATAACAATTAGTTTGAAAATGAGTACTATAAAGCAAATATAGGTAGAAGTTGTAAAAATATCTTACTATGTTCAAAATAGAATACTTTTAAAGCTAATTTTAGGAAAGAAACTTTATAAATTATGGAATGAAAAATAACTTAACATATAGTTTCACCTTATTTGAGCATGAAAGTTTTTATCTTAAATACTAAGTATCAAGTTAGAAATTTTGATTTTAAAGAATACACAAAAATTGTTCTAAGATATTCTAAGATATAACTCCATATTCTTAGTTGTGGAAGAGTTTATCCTTGTAAAATTCAATAATGGACTAACATTTAATAAGAAATTATTAGACCCTGAAACTAATTGTGGAATTAAAAAATTGAAAAATGGTCCAGCTAATAATAGACCTACAAACATAAGATAAGAGAGAATTAGTGCAAAGAATTTGAAAATTCAACGCATATCATTCTTTAAAATTTATCCATGGATAGATAGATAAAATTAATGATGTAAGAATCATATCAACATTTAAGAACATTCAAACCTAGTCTTTATTTTTTAAATATAGTGAGAGATGTTTGATAAAACTTTAAAAATTATGGTTGGATAGTAGTACTGCAAGAATAACTCAATCAATTTACATTTAATGAAGTCTAAATTTTAGTCCCAAAACTTAAATGCAAAACTATGTCTTTATAAACATATGCATCCTTCAACTTATAACAAGTCTAGTAAACTTATAAATGAAAAGATCTATAAAGGTATAATTGACTCATACGTTAATGCTAGAAGACCAAACGTTATAATGTATGTCTTTGTGCAAAATTTCAATTTGATCTAAGAAAATTTCATCTTAAAGTTATTAAATATTTTTTAGAGATTTTGTTAACACTTTAAATTATGGTCTATTGTGGAGAAAAAAAAATAAAAATAAAAATATGGTCTATTGTATAAACACACAAATATTTCAAGTTGATAAAATATTGTGATGTTAATCACATTGAAGAGAGTTGTTAGAAAAGGCTATCAATTCATTGAAGCAAATATTATATCTTAAGTCAATAAAAAATAAATTTCAATAGAATTTTTAATAGTTGATGTAGAGTACATACATCTAGCAAATTGTTGCTCACGATTGTAATGGTTATATCAACTTAAAAGATTGGATATATATGAATATAATATCCCAATTTGGTGTGCCAATACTAGGGCTATCATTTTACTCGAGACCATGTTTAGAAAAGTGTTTCTGATATTAAGTTCATTAATACTGATTATTGATAGGCATACATGTTCATAAAACCTTTAGCTAAAACTAATTTTTCCTTATCAATATTGAATGTGCAATCTATGAATACATCATTGAAATGCTTGTTTGTCTATCATATACCTTATCAAGTGTCATCTGATTTGATAATGTCCACAACTAAGACTATCTCCTCTCACAAGTCTATTAAAATGTTTTCCAAAATTCAAAATGCCTTTTTTAGTTAAACTACAAGTCTTTCAAATTACACTACGCCAAAATGGAGATATAAGAGCGGTTCCGTTTTGAATTAGAGATTGTTCTAAAATCTTGCGCTATCTGATGTATTATATTTAAAAGAGCGGTTAAAGAATTGCTATCAGATGTGAAGATTAGAGAGCGGTCGTGGAACCGCTCTCCAAAGTATAAATTTAAACTGCGAAATTTGAAATTGATTTTTTTGTGAGTTTTCTGTTGCAAAATAAAAATTTATTATTATATTTAAATCAAAATTTAGAATTAATTTCTTTGTGAGTTTTCTTCATTTTTATCACAAATCAAAATTGAATCTTGAGTTTATATATTTGGTGTTAACCAAGCAGTCCACATCTGCATGAACGAAACACAAGTAAGCAAAGAAAAAAGAGAACAAATTAACAGGATAATTTTTAACATTAATAGAGAGAAAAAGAAAGAAAGAAAGAATGTGTGATTCACCGTTAACAAAGAGAAGAAGAAATAAAGAGAGAATAAAGAAATACATACAGATGTGAAAAAAAACTAATTTGTTAGCGTAAAGAAGATGAAGAGAGCAGACTAACACAGAATAAAAAGGTACTTACATATGGAAAAAAAACTAATTTGTTAGCAAGAGAAGACGAAGAGAGTAGGCTAACAGAGAAGATGAAGAAAACATAAGAGAGCAGAGAAGATGAAGAAAACATAAGAGAGCAGAGAAGAAACTTACAGTGAAAGAGACCAACTTTGTTAGCTATGAAGAAGAAATGCGTTGATCGTTTTCATTTATAAATGACTTTAATAACATTAGAGAGCGGTTCTTTATTAACCGCTCTCTAATGTGTGACTTTAGAGAGCGGTTTTTAACAAAGAACTACTCTCAGAAGTATAGATCTGAGAGCGATTAATAAAGAACCACTCTCAAAAGTATAAATCTGAGAGCGGTTAATAGATAACCGCTCTTAGAAGTATAGATCTGAGAGCGGTTAATAGATAACCGCTCTCTAAATATATAATTACAAAGCGATTTTTATTAACTGCTATCTAAGTTAGCGCTTCAAAAGCTCATTTCTGGCGTAGTGTTATTACTACACCAAAAAAGGTTTTAAAAAGTAATTTTGCATCAATTTAAAAAATAGTTCAAACTGTTTTAATAAGCGACATTATGAAAAATTAAATGCACTTAAAAAATAGTTATGAATCACTGTCCATGTGCCACTTAGAGAGGAACTTTCATAACAGCTCCCAAAATATTCCTACACCATGAACCACTATTATAACATGCCATGTTATACCCCTATTCAACTTTCAAGCCACAATGTCAATCACTACATAAGCTTTATTATCATTGTGTCTACTAGCAACTTGAATTGTTACATCATTGTAATCCAATCACAAATCACCACAACCAATTGCCTCCACTGTCAAACCACTACTGCATCACTGCACTTTCACATACTCTTTTTCCTTGCATCACCAATAATAACACTACAACAATGATTGTCAATTGAACTCATCATTGTGAAACTACCATTCTCATCATCAAATCACTTCTCATGAAAATAACATTGTTGCCATCATCATGACCAAACCCATTATTAATTCCCACCACCATGTTTGAAACAAAACACATAGTCATCGTATTGTCATGATCTTCTTTATTGATTGTAAGTTAAACAATGTCTCATCCTTATTTTCATTTATCAGTTGCAAGCTTATAAGTAACATTTTAAACCGAGTGATTGGTGCATAACTGCTTTCTACAGTAACTTTAAAGAGTGATTATACAAAGAACCATTCTCCAAGCGAAGATTAAAGAGCAATGCCCTAAGTGATTTTTCTAAAAGAATATAAAATGGGGTAGTGTATTTTATTATGTGCAATAAAATTCAGAAAAATGTTGACGTAACTATCTCATTTAAAGAATTGAATTCAAGAAATCTTTATTTAAATTAAATCGACCTCATGTTAGCTTATCTACGTGTAAGATTTGTTATGGTTTTAGTGCATTAAAATTATATTCAATAATAATTACATATTCATTTATCTCGTAGATGGAAAAAAAAAAGAAAAAAGAAATTGATGAACGTAACCATCCTTGATAATCTTAGAGATTGTATTTGGATAAAGAATTATAGATTTTTAGAAAATTTGACATCAATAATAAAAGATGTTTAACATGTAAATTAAATATGAAAAAAATTATAAATGATAATTATAAAAACTTAAGTATAATATATGACTTTAAATTCTCTCTAAAGATATTTCATTTAAAAAATTTTAACTTGACATAAAAATTTTCTAGTTAAAATTCTAAAGAATTCTAAAATAACCATTTTTTCCTTTACTGTCCAAATATATACAGTCTAGCAATTTAAAATTCTTCTATCCAAACAAAACTTAAATCTAATAAATCCGGTAGTTAAGCAGTTTGAATTGGTTTTTCAATACCAACAAAATTCATTGAGAAAACACAAACTGCAGAAAGGAGGGAGATCCAACCAGCAAATATAGTTTCCTTATCTGTTAGGTAAAAATAAAGAAATATTGAAATGAAGAAGAAATCTGTTAGGAAAAAAGCATGCGAGGATGAGACATATCAAAGAATCAAAAGGAGTAGTAACTAGTAAGAGAAAGAAAGGATGGGCAAGCAGCTTTAGGTAAAAACAGGGCTTGCAAATGCAAATTTTTTATTAATGTGTTATATATGTTTGAAAAACCAGTCAAGTGACCGTTCTAGATAATCCTTATTATATTTGTAATCTAAGTAAGAAATTTACTATAGCACCTGAAAATAATCCCTTACAAAACCAAATTGACAATCCTAATTAATCTGCATCTCGTTACACCTCTTGAGAATTGATAGGAGGATCAAAGACAATAAACGCTCTGAAAGCTGAAATCACAGATAAAACAAAGAAGCAAAAAAAAGTAATCACATGGAGGATTATAGCCAACTTCACTTTGCTGCAAAACATGCCATAAGAACTACAGGCTTCACTCCAAGAATCTTCCTTAGCACCATGGTAAACCAGGTAATATATCTCCGTTACTGCGGCTACTGATGTGATCGTTAAATAAGCTATAATCTGTAAAAGGGATCAATTGTAGATATGTTAATAAGCCAAAAGATCCTTACAGCTCAACGCTATTAGTATGGCCATATTGAAGAACAAAAGTAGATGTGAAAGAAAGATATTATATTAAATTTTATAAATTTTAATAAAAACATTTTATAAATATTTTCTTATCATGTACTATATTTCAAAGGTTAGAAAATTTTTTAATTTTATCTTGGTAATATATATTATTAATGTTAATAAATAAATGATTTTTATCATATATTTTTATTTTAAAATAATTATAAAATTATAATATAGATTTAAATATGTTTCTTATTCTTATACTTGTTATGAGATTTTGATTTTAAATTTAAAAAAAAAATCTATTTTTTTAATTTTTTTTCTATTATATATTTTTTAATTTTAGTCTATAATCTTTTAAAATTTAATATTTGAGGAATATTAGTAATACATTTTTTAACACACTCTTTATTATTGATTACAATTTATTGAAAACTAAAAAATATAAAAGAAAATCATTAATTTAAGAATTAAAAAAAGTAAAACTCACGTTATTTTTGTAATTTTTAATAAATTTTAAATAATAAAAAATATGTATTATAAAAAGTATGTTAAACATCAGTTTCCTATCATCAGAGTTCAATGTTTCGATCCTTTGTAATAATGTGACAAACTAAGAATTAAAGCATGGCAGCCGCGTGAGGCGAGGACGACCCTGAATTTTTTCAGTCTTCATTCCTCCAGGTCCTCACAAATATTTGCGAGAATCAACAAGTTATATTAAAGTTTTTAAAATCATTAAAAATATATAAACCAATATATATATATATATATATATATATATATATATGTATGTATGTATATTACAATTGATTTTATTTTAAATTTAATATATACTTATATAGATAAAATTAATAGGTGTATTTATTGATAAATTAATAAAAAGTATAAGATACATATACAACAGTTAAAGATAAATTTTAAGTATATATATATGTATATTATGCTGGATGGGGAACCTATGGGCGGGGAAGGTAATTTTCATCCTCAGAATAAGTCCTCTCAGTACCTTGGAAACCTGACTTTCCAAATAACCATTATAGGAATAAAAAATGTAATAGGTGTTTGGTTGAGAATGGAATAAAGGGGAAAGAATAAACGTGAAACCTGATCAGAGAGAAAGAAAATCCAAGCCTTGGATACTAAGAATTTGAGCCATGAGGAAGCCGCAGCAGCAAGAGCATAACAAGCACAGAGAGCGCTAACTAAGACCATATACTTGAGACCAGAGAGATCGTTATATTTCACCATTCCGTAGCTGCTGTTGTCCTCCTTGTTTGTCACAGTGATCCATATGGTTGCCACTGAGAATGGGACCGAACAGAGCCTCAGAGCCCAATCAATAAGCTTAAGCATTGCAAGATGATTCTTCTCTGATGCACTATCATCAATTTGTGTTCTCATTTTTCTTATGCAATCAAATTGGTAGAGGGATCTCACTCACAAACATGTATTATATACACACACATACCCCGAATGCCTTAGTGGGGTTGGTGGGAATATAGTGGGAAACGCTTTTTCAGAGTACTTTGATGCTTCTTTTATCGTGTTCTTGAATTAGCATCATTGTTTCCACTTCCGCATGCCAACGTGGCCTTCTCTCTTTTTTCTTTTTTTTTGTGATTCATGTTCATACTTGGCTATTCTAAAGGTGAAATCATTTTATTTAAATTTGATTCAATTACTATTCAACTTGTAATGCTGATGTTATAGTTCATCATCATCTTGTTTTAATCTTAATTCAATTAATATCCAATTTAAATTTATTTTTAATTACAATTCTTTGTTTTTGGTAGGTGATTTTAATTTAATTCTACTAAATATAAAATTGACTGTAAATCGAGTTGTTAAATATAAAACAATAAATCTAATTGATGTATCTAATTATAATTAAAACAATAAATCTAATTGATGTATCTAATTATAATTCTGAATTGAATTCATTTTGTTTATTCTAAATGTTATATTTAGAACATCTAAAGCTTAAAATGCTAAATCCTCAAATTTTAAATGAAGTTAAATATAATATTCAATGGACCTTGCAAAGTTGAATTACCTTTTTGGTAGTCAAGTACCCACTACGCATGTAAAACGAAAAATATTGTTGGGTTACGCTGGTAAAATGGAAATTAAAATGAACAACGAAGATAAATTATAAATTTTAACTTACATTTAAAAATATCTTTCAAGATTTATTTAAAATTTATAAACAATAAAATATTTTTAAAAAATTCGTGAAATCGAACTTAGAATTAGAAATTCAATTCTTATCTAGTCAGTTGATAAAATATGAATTGGAAGTACAATTTCAATAATTAAGCTAAATACTAAGTATAATTGCATATGCCAAAAAACTTGTATAAATATTCGTTAAGATTTTAATATCTTGTCAAACTGTAATTTTATGAAGGTCGTTTTATTATTATTAATTTAAGATTCTCACGTTTTACTTTAAAATAGATTAAAGAAAGTGGGATAATTGACCCATCAGAATCCAATTACTACCTCTAGATCGATGTGGCCTAATGTTTATGTTCCAATGATGGATGTAAAAATGGTGTTGTGTATAAGATTTCAGTCCGAATTATGGGACTATGCTTTGTCACTTATGGATTGGACTCGAAAAGGCAAGTGGTAGAGAGCCCATTGATATGCAAAGCCTCGTCGAGAATTTAGAACACTTGTTTTCTATTTTGTCATGTTGCTGTATTGGCCCTTAGCCTTGGTCTCTGACTCTCTGTGTTGTTATTTATTTATTTATTCGGCTATTTATCAAAAACAAAAGAAAATAATACATTCATATCCACATTTTGGATGTTAGTTGGATACTTGGATGAAATAAATAAATAAATAAAAATTGTTGTAGGTGATATAATAGAAAAGGAAAAAAAGAAAAAAAAAGTGAATGAAAAATATTATAATTAAAAAAAATTGAGATTTGTTAGTTGTAGGATTAAGTCTGCCCTATTGAAACGTTACGATATTGTTACTGATGATTCATATTTTGTACTCACATTTATAACTTTATTACATCTTTCAAAATATCTTTCCTTCTTTACTTATTTCATTTAGCATATTTTTGCATTTCTTACATTAAATTGGAGTTTTCATGAATATTTGTTATCCTTACTTTATATTTCATATTTTCACTATTCTGACCTTTGTCCACTATTTTGGCCATAACTTTTTCTGTAGATATCCTTTTTGGCTGATTCATTTTGTAATGGATTCCTTACTTCCCGAGCTTCAATTTGGATATATGGATCATGCTGTTTGGAGTTCAAAGCTATTTTCTATTAATTTTTGAAATTCAGACTTAAAACATACCTTTTATATTTAAGGTTTTTTTATTTAGGATTTTTATTATAATTACTTGCAAAGGCCTTGGCCTATTTATTTCCGTTTTCATTTAAGACTAGTATATATAGGGGTCAAAAGGTTGATTTTGAACATTTCTCCTTTTTCACCTCTCCTCCTTTTCCTTTTATAATTTCATTTTTCTGTAAAGACCTTTTTTTTTTCTGCTTTAAGAGGAAACCTTTTCGTTTTATTCACTTGCTTCGGATTCTGTTGCGTTTTCAATTATTGTTTTCTCATTTACAGGTTTTCTGAGAGCTGTGAGATATGTCAAAAAGCAGGAGGGACCATCACCCGGAGGAATGAGATGCCTTAGCAACCTATCATCTTCTGTGAGATTTTTGATGTTTGGGGTATTAATTTCATGGGCCCTAGATATTCTTCTAGATATTCTTACATTTTACTTGCTGTTGATTATGTTTCCAGATGAGTGGAGGCAAAGGCCACCAGGACTAATGATTCTAGGGTTGTTTCAAATTTTCTTCGGACTAACATATTCTGCAGGTTTGGTGTGCCTAAAGCTGTTATAAGTGATCAAGGGAGCCACTTTTGTAACAGGACTATAGCAGCATTGTTCCAAAAGTATGGGGTGACACACAAAATTGCTACACCATATCATCCCCAAACTAATGTGCAGGCTGAGGTATTTAACAGAAAAGTCAAGCATCTGTTGCAAAAGTTGGTTCATCCTAATAGGAAAAATTGGAGTAAGTTGTTGGATGACGCTCTTTGAGCCCAGAGAATAGTTTACTGGACACCAATAAGCATGTCTCCATTTCATGTGGTGTTTGGTAAAGCATGCCACCTTCCAGTGAAAATTGAGCATAAATCATATTAGGCAGTAAAAAGTTGTAACATGACACTTGAGCAAGCAAGAAAAGAAAGAAAGCTTCAACTTCTAGAGCTTGATGAGATACCCTTGGAGGCCGATGATAACTCTATGATGTATAAAGAAAAAGTCAGAAAATTCCATGATACAAAAATTCTGAGAAAAGTGTTCTTTGTGGGACAGAAAGTGTTATTGTTTGACTCTCATTTGAAACTGATTGCAGGTAAGCTTCGATCTAGATGGGATGGACCTTTTGTGATTACTAATATTTTTCCTCATGGTGCAATTGAAACTAAGGATGAAGCTACCGGCAGAGTTTTTAAAGTTAATGGTCACTAGCTGAAACTATTCTAGGAAAGCAAACCTATGGAGAAGGCTCAAAACATAGATGATGTATCTTTAATGGAGCCTATTCTGATAGGGGAAGTGTCTACATAGGCACTTGGGGCATTCTTTTCTCTTACCTTATTTCTTTTCATTATACTTTCCTTTAGTTTTCCATGCATGTCTTTTTACTTTATTTGAACTATTTTCATGTGTTTTCATTTTCTATCAATTCCCATTTTGCGGACAATATTTCATTCAAGTGTGGGGTGGAGTATGCCTTAGCATTTTTTTCATTGGATTCCTTTGCTTTTAGATTTCATCGGTGTGAGCAACTTTTTATTTGTCAATTTTAGTTGAGATTTTCATAACATGATAGATTTGTTTCTTGCATTTGAGTTTAGCTAGTTTTTCATGATAATTAGATTCTGGATCAATGATTGGTAGAATAATTACCCTAGTAAGACTTGGGCTTATTGTCTTTCTTGTGTGAATCACTCATGTTGACCTGACTCTTTTTGAGATTATTTCTTCACATGCACATTTAATATGATTTAGGCCTTCTTTCACATTTTAACTACTTAGCCAAATTGACTCACCTTACATTTATTTCACTTGTTTACCCCTTTGAGCCTTATTAACCCTTTCTTGATGATTTTGCAGCTCATTACAAGTCATGTAACCTAAAAAACCATAAATCACCCAACCTTGGAGATTAGATGAGCTTTGGAATTATTTTTGGAGTTGGTTAAAAAAAAAGTGTGGGGGTATTGTGTTATATTGTGCTTTGTTTGAAAATTTCAATGCATTATTAGTCACTGGAACAGTAGCTTGAAAAAAATTGGAAAAAAAAAAACAAAAAAATAAAAAGAATCCAAAAACCAGAATTTTAGTGTTGAATTTTAGATACCTTTCTACTTGTTTTTAACTCATTCTCCATTGCTCTTCTTTCTCTTAGTTTTTAGCCTTGTATACTTTCTTTTATCCCACCTTTTCTCTAGTCCTATTGATACAAGTCTTATTGATCTTTTGATGCATGTGTTTCAAATAGTAAAAATTAGAGGCTCTTCAAGCCTATGATTGTGCTTACTTCCATGATGTGCTTTGAGTGAAAATGTTAACCTATACACTTGAGACAATGAGTGATACACACATCCTTGAGAGAATTTTTGCCAATTGTGATCCATGATTTAGTTAGATTGAAATTCTTCTTTACTTTTTTGTCTGGAACATATCCTTGATTGTTTTTAATTCTTTTATATTTTGATTGATGAATTTATTTTCTTTCTTGCTCACACCACTTTCACTTTAGGATCTATTGAATTTTTTTTTGCTTTGTTTGGTTTTGTCTTATTGTCTTTTCCTTTCTTTTGCTTGGAAGTGCAAAAGCTTAAGTGTGGAGGGTATTTGATGATTCATATTTTGTACTCACATTTATAGCTTTATTACATCTTCCAAAATATCTTTCCTTCTTTATTATTTCATTTAACATGTTTTTGCATTTTTTGCATTAAATTGGAGTTTTCATGAATACTTGTTATCTTTACTTTATATTTCATATTTTTGCTATTCTGACCTTTGTCCACTATTTCGGCCATAACTTTTTCTGTAAATCTCCTTTTTGGTTGATTCATTTTGCAATGGATTCTTCACTTCCTAGGCTTCAATTTGGATATATGAACCATGTTGTTTAGAGTTCAGAGCTATTTTTTATTAATTTTTGAAGTTCAGACTTAAAACATATCTTTTATATTTAGGGTTTTTTTTTATTTAAGATTTTTATTATAATTATTTGCAGAGGCCTTGGCCCATTTATTTCCGTTTTGATTTAAGACTAGTATATATAGGGTCAAAAGGTTGATATTGAACATCTCTTCTTTTTCACCTCTCCTCCTTTCCCTTTGATAATTTTGTTTTGATAATTTCATTTTTCTATAAAGACCTTTTTTTCGCTTTGAGAGAAAACCTTTTTCGTTTCATTTACTTGCTTCAGATTCTGCTGTGTTATTGTTTTTTCATGAATCATCTCGTCACAAGTGTGGGTTGCAAGATCGATTGATCGCTCTGAGTTTATCTTTTTTTTTTGTTGCAATTCTTGATTAAGTATGGTGCATGCATAATTCGATTGAATTTGGTTTTATTCTTGAGTGTAATATTGATCGATTAATTACTTTTACATTTGAGATTTAGGTAAATTCGGTATAGTAATCCTAGTTTGCGTCTGTGATTCGTGATTTCAATTTGTGGTTTTAATTCTCATTTTTGTTTTCCATTTCTTTTTATTTTTTGTTTTCATTTTTATCTTCCAATTCATTTTGTTTTCAATTTGTTTTTGTTTTCATTTTTTTTTCTGAGTTAACTTAGATCCATTTTCAAATTTTAAACCGTTTTCAAATTTTAAATTCGTTTTTAGTTTTAGATCTGTTTTCATATTTTAAATTCGTTTTCATTTTTAGATATGTTTTCATATTTTAATTCGTTTTCAATTTTAGATCCATTTTCAAATTTTAAATCGTTTTCAAATTTTAAATTCGTTTTTAGTTTTAGATCTGTTTTCATATTTTAAATTCGTTTTCATTTTTAGATATGTTTTCATATTTTAATTTGTCTTCAATTTTAGATCCATTTTTAAATTTTAAATTCATTTTTAGTTTTAGGTTCATTTTCATTTATATTGCTTTCGTTTTAAATTACTTTCATTTTAAATTTACCTTTAAATTACAAAACTCCCAAATTAACCACCGTTGCATGTTTAAAATTGAAAACAGAATGAATTTGTATCCGTGTGAGATGACCTATGTTTGCTCTCTATATTACAAAATTAATTGAAAAATTTAATTTTATTTGACACCATTACGACGTGTATGTCAATTACCAAAGAAGAAACTGAGCTAGAATTTGAAGTTCGATCTAGAATTGGTAAGTCCAAAAATCCTTCAGTGAAGTTTGGAAGTTTGGAGGAGAAAGAGTTTGAAGAGAGAAAGAGGAAAAGGGAAGGGAGGAAGGAGGTTAAATCCCTCATTTGTTTAAATATTTAATATTGAGAAAGGAAGATGACAGGGGGTTTAATTATATAAATAATTTTAAAATTAATATTTTTATTTTTTAAATATTTTAAAAAAAATTATCACTTGAAAAACTAACATTTTTTTTAAAAAAAAAGTTAAAATCCTATTTGTGAAATAGTATGAAAGAGTGTGAGAAAGAAAATCTCTTAACACGAGGGAACTCAAAAAATAAGCTTTTGAAAAATTTTGGAGGGTTTAAAATTCCCCCAAAACCTTTCTCTCCTAATTAAACAACTCCCAAACAAGATTAAATCCCTTCCGTCCCCGCCTCTCCTAAACCTAACTCCCAAACATAACCTTATACTTTATTTGATTTCAGAAAAAAATGAAAAAAGAGAAATAAAAATATATTATATAGTATTAATATTATTCTTTAATTTTATTTTTTTAATATATTTGATCAAATAATAAAATTGTCTAATTGGACTGACTCTGAAATGATATAACCTGATTTGCATTGAGTAGCATCCTAATATGGATTGAACAAAAAAGGTTTGAAACAATTCAGACTTTAAAATGATAGCCCAAGCCAAGATTAACACTTTGCGGGTAGCAGATTTACATGGGCAATCTGCTTTTATAATACTTTTTAAAAAAAAATAATATATTAAGGATAAAATACTAAACATTAACCATATTTTTTTTAGAACATTAAAATTTAGTTTCTCAATCATCAAATTATTTTATTTAACAAAATTAAAATAAATACTATAATCTCAAATATTGAAAACAAACACTATAAATAGTTTCTCAATCGTTTAAATCATCCCAATATATTATTGCAATGATCTCTTTCATCGTAATAATCTTTGTTATTATAATCTAGAATTAAATATCGATTATGTTAATATATCATAAATACAAAAAAAATTCATAATTTCAATTTCATAAATAACACTTTTAAATTAAAATAAATATTACATAGAAAAAGGGCTGCCTTTCTCAAGCCTTCGTGAATTTGTGCTTAAACAAGTTAAGAAGGCTTGAATTTATTCAATCATTTCATTTAATGTTCCAAAATTTAATTTTTGCGAATATGTTTTAGCTATCGTATCAAGTAATCCTATTTTGTTATCCTTTTCAAATACTATAAATAATATTTTTTACCAACATTATAAGTTAATATTAAATCAAGGTTTTGTCAATGACTCAAGATCTGCTGTGGCAAGTTTGAAATACTTAACTTCTTATATAATGGAAGATTAGTAAATACAAGATTAATCAATTTAATTATTGAATTATCCTATATTATCTTCATAATCATATATATCAAGTTTCACATAATTTAAACATACATAGATGTATTATCTATAATTTAATATTTATTCACATTTTAAAAACTTATTATTTGTTAAAATTAAATAATGCAATGAAATAACTATTAGTTTTTTTTTTTCATGAAATTTTGTAAAGTTTATTTACTTGATAAGAACATTCAAGCCCAATAGTTAAATTTATCAATTTTGCATTCTATTAAAAGTTATTAAGCGATGTAAATTTTAAAATTTGACACTTCATGTCAATAAATCTTGCCTTATTGCTTATTTAAATCACAAAAATATGTAACCACATAGTATCATTGAAAAAATTCCTTTCATTTTCAAGCTTCAAAAGAAGATAAATCTTAATCTATAACACCTTCTTTTTATTCTATTTATTAATTGATAAATTGTTTTAATATTATGTAGTGTTGAGATATGTTTTAAATTGAATGGATTAGTGTTTATTAGAATTCTGGTACAGGGGGTTTTGCTCAAGCGGAGCAGATCTCGCTCAAGCAAGACTGAACGCTCAGAACCACATGATTTTAGGGCAATCTCGCTCAAGCATCTCGCTTAAGCAAGAATAAGATAGACTTGACTTTACTGTTCTCGCCCAAGCGAGCAGAGATATCGTCAGGCAAGATGAGTTGCTCAGAAAAAATAGCCAACTTTCTGGACGACCCTTGCTCAAGTAAGAATGACCCTCGCCTAAGTAACAATATCAGAAAATGCTTGGAGAGGCCACTGTCTGGTGTTCTCGCTCAGGTAAGAATTTTCTCCTCAAGTGAGAGCGCACAGAGTTGAGGGATATTTAAAGAATTTCTAGCATGGAAACTTCATTTCATTTTCATTTCCTACGTTCTCTCTCTACTTTCTCTGAACTCTCACTTCCTTTTTTCAAAGAAACCTAATCTAAACTCTGATCTTTCTCGAATCTAAACTTGGACATCTAATCTAAGCTACTTCAAGTAAGTTTCTCTGAGTTTGATCCTATATTCTCAGTTGGTTTTATCTTTCTCAAGGATATCTTATTGTATCTAGGGAAAAAATTTATGTTTTGAGAGACAATCTTCATGAATTTCTCTTTCAATCTTCATCTTATGGTAAGGAGGGCTCTATTTTGTCTTTTACTCATAGTGCATATTTTGTGCTCATGGAGATATTATTACATAATTATTGTATGAGAATATTTGTTTGGATAATGGGATTTGTGAAGGAAAGTGGATGATATACGTATTTGACTGGTTGGTTTGAGTAATCATATGTTGTGTTATATGTTGATATGTGTATATGAGAATTTAGCTAAAAAAATGTGATGAGTAAATGTTATATGATGAAATTTTTTTGATTATGATAAAAGGTTAAAGATACTGGTATGAATGACTTAATGATTGAAACTATATTGTGATGTTATAAGTGATGTGGATTTAGTCCAGAAATGCTTTACTAAGAATGATATTTTAATTGGGTATTGAAAGCAACATGAAAAAGGAATATGGTATGAGTATAAAATGTTGATTGAGACTAGTGTGAATAGTTACAAAGATACATTGATGGTATATAGTTCAGAGATGATAGGAAATTTGGGAAAAACATAAAGTGGTGAGTAACATTTGCGTATGTGTACACACTTTTTCTGAGAGCGAATGCTTTACATGGCCTCACACTCATTTCCTGATTAGACTCTTGACTATACTTTTGCTAAAGGGTTCGTTCTTGTATATGTTGTACTGTGTACATGGGCTACCTAGCGACTATTTACCTAGTTGAGTAAGACCTCAAGAAGTGCTAGAAGCATCGTATTTCGGTGATCACAGTACACTAGGAGTGTGTATTTGAAAGAAAGAAATTTAATAATTTATGATGAATTCATGTATTATGACTATGTGATAATTGTTGTATGTTGTTTTGTGGTTGAAATTATTATGTTTCCTTTTATTCCATAACTATGATTATGTTGTGATGTTGGTCTTTGAAATGAAGTTGTGTTTAATAATAAGATAAATGCTCATCCTTACTAAACTTTCCAGGAAATAAGAATGATGGCACCCTAAGAGCAAGATAGATTAATAGATAATCATGTAATAGAATAAATTATGTATTTAATGAGTATTAGAGGTTTTGTTACTTTAAGTTTGCTACATATAGTGACAATGTACCTAGACACATTTATACTTTGGAAATGGACCTATATTATAGTATTCTTTTAGACTTTCCTTTAAATAATAAGATCCATCATGCTTTTTGTATGGATATTTATAGAGGAACGGTTAGAACTCTAGCTGCTATGAGGTATCTGTGTACTTACCTTGACCATGATCATTTTAGAAGACCGACCAGAGTAACCTCTGAGCAAGTCATGGATATTGAGGTCGCGACTGGTTCTGGCAATCTCTATCTTGAAGAAGATGAGGATTTAGATTTTGAGGATCTAGCAGAAATAGAGGATGACATGGTGACGACTAGCACCAGGTCCTTAGTATTTTGGATATGGATTATGACTGCTCTAAGACTTAGTTTATTTTGGTTATGGAATTATCATTCTAAGTCCCACCTTTTTTAATTAATAGTTTGTAACTTACTAAACTCATTATATGTAAATGAAAGTTTAGTATCTATATTTCTTGAATTGTTCTGGTATACTATAATTATTAAATTACAATTTATATTATCTCATCTCATCATATTAGTAAAACTTTTGTGAATGGTCTTATTCATGAAAAAGTTTTAATTTATTTGTACATTTTTATTACTTATTATATATAAAATTTAATTTATTTATTCCATTTTTGTACAAAATAATTGTGTAATTTGAGAATTAAGAATAAGTATGTCATATAATCATCTCATAAGAAATGATTTCCTAGAATTTCTATAATATTTTATATGTTTTTCAAAAAGTTAAAAGGTTGAACAACTTTTGTAATTTATTCTCAAGTATAGCTTATTCTTGGTTAGATATTATAAGTTACCTTTGAACAACTTCAGATCCAACCTTATAGTAAAAAAATTAAGTGGACAATTTCAAGAATTGGATACGAAAGAAAAGCATGTTAGAAATAAATTGAATAAATAGTTCTATAATAATTCAAATAGTACTTTTAAAAATAAAATGTTGGCAAATTTTCAATTTATTATTATATTAATTTTATTTATAGAAAAACATAGCTTCTCATGCACTTGAATACTCAAGGTCAAATGTGATGAAATCTCGCAATTAATAAACAATAGAGAAAAGAATGATGCATATGAATGAAAAGAATTGAACAGAGTCATGCAATAAAATTAATGATTCATTAAAGCACTTGTCTCCAAATTATAAAGAATATATAAATAAAACATTAAATTATCACAAATATTTAGTCTTGAATAACTTTAGGAATGAATAAGAAATTAATACACTTGCATTGCCATTATACCAATAATCCTTACTAATAGAAAGTAGATGAAAAAAGAAGTAAGATAACGATTTTTTTTGGGACAAATAAAGAATTTTGTGGTTAAGTTATAAAGTCTTATAAGATTGAATTAACACATAGTGAAATGAGATAACAAATTTATTTAAAAAGTGAATTACTTTTAAGTTAAATAGACTTGGTTAAGATGTCGATAACACAAATTATACCTTTAAAATTGTGAAGTTTCCGTAATAAAATATTTAAAAGTAAATATGTATGTATTTCAAAAGTTACTTTTACACTTGAAATTCCCATTAGTACTTTAAAAAGATTGTTTAAGTCTTCTTTAAAAAGTGAAATGAAATTCATAAAGTGTATCTTTCTATCATTATTCGAATAATAAAATTGTATATATCAATAATGGTTTTAATATAATTTTGGTTCTTATAAACTTTTTATTAAGATTTAATCTCTTAAATATTAAGAAGTTAAAATTTATTTTTGTTAACTTTTTTTTATCAATTATTGAGCTCACAGAGAATCATCTCATCGTTATTATATTAATATTATGTTATTTATTTTTTTAAATATTTTATTATTTAAAATTAATATTAATAAATAAATTTCTATATATATTTTAAATATTTATAAAAAATTCACATAAACTTTCTCTTTTCTCTCCGCAACACAATCACAATAATTTGATTTCACAATATTTTTTAACGAGGTATCAAGTGATAGTACTTACTAATCTTGGAATTGCCATGGCTACTTATTCACATTAGTAGTCTATGATCGTTTTTTTAATAATAACGTGAAATGTGTATTGAATCGTAATAATTTTATTTTAGGAATAATAAAGGTGATTTGGCATGAATTGATCATGACTGTTTTGGGAATATTGTGAAATTTGTTTTGAAAATAATTTGACGTAGTAGTTATTGACTTCAAGGCTGCTAAAAATGTACTTCTGTACTATTTTATATATTTTCGTAATAGAGGTGAGTATGTGCTGCTAGGAGTGACCATAAAGGAAATTGTGCACTAACATTTATGTCTCCGTTAAGGGAGCATGTACCTATGGTACTAGTCAGACTATAGACATATAACTCCTAATCTTCAACCCAAAATTAATAATATTGGATAATTAATTACTACAGAGAGAAAACATAAATAAAAGATATTGCAATGGTTGTTAGTTGTTGATTACTTGCGTAATCATTTGAGCAAATTTTTATTCATTTTAACATTAAGTATTACCTTATGATATGATTTGAATGTTTATACTCACCCCTTTTTCTATGTTGTGTCAATTAAAGGTGTTGGACCAAATTCACAAATAAAAAAAAAGTTTTCTAGTTCCTTTCACATTTTGCAATCCTAATTTTCATGGATAATATACACAATCAGAATACAAAAGTGGAAGGAAATATTATAGGTCACTTTATGCAGATATCATTGATGAAGTTTCATAACCTTTGAATGTATTGATGTTTGCATACTGAATTGCTAGAACAACATCATTCATATCAGCAAAAGCAATAAAATCCTTCATTTTATCAGCATATGATTCGAATAGAACACATTCAATCTTTAGCCTAAAATACAAAATTATCAATTCAAAAAATATAAAAAATTATATATTATAGATACAAAAATATAAATTAGATATACTAACATACTTTTTCACTGAAAGTTCTATGACAATCATTTTAGATTTAGAACTATTCTTCACAATATTTGTCATATTTCTTACTCGAGTAAAAATAGCAATTACATCTGTATCAAATAAATGTTAGCATGTGGATCAAAATAATATTAACTATAAATGCAAATCCAATGTCTTTATATGAAAACATTACGAATTAAATAATCTGTGTTGCACTTGTTATCAAGTATATCAGCTAAGGATATAAATGATAAACTTAATGAAGGAATGTCTATATTTTGAAGAACTCTTACTTTAGTTTCATAATAAAAGTGGAGAAGATATTTATCTTGCGTTATTTTATACACCATTACTTTTAGCTACAACAAAATAATACATCTAAAAATCTTATTATCTTTTAGCAATTGGTCAAATCTATAAATAAGAGTTTTCTTAAGAAAAGTATGAATGATGTATCAATTGCAAAGAGCTTCGGTATTTTAAAAGATTGATCTACGATTTGGTTATTATCAGGTTTGAGTAAAGAATGAAAATATTCTCAAGACAACTTTCAGAACTCGCTATAGCCACTAAGTACATAGTTATGCCTTTTGGTGTGACTAATGCTTTGGCGATATTCATGGATTATATGAATCATATCTTTCATCAATATTTGGACCAGTCTGTAGTAGTATTATCAACGATATCTTGATTTACTCGAAGAACCATGAAGAACATGTTGAGCACTTAAGGATTGTTCTGCAAATTTTAAGTAAGAGGAAGTTGTAGGCAAAGTTCCTGAAGTGCGAGTTTTGGATATCGCAAATACAATTTTTGGGACATGTGGTATCAAAGGAAGGAATCATGGTAGATCCAACAAAAGTGGATGATGAATGCAAATTTTACTATGTTTTTAAGTAGTTTTCTAGATTATTTTTGATAGAAAATATAATTTGGAAGGTGAAAACTGTACAAAAATATATAAATATTTAATAAAGTCAATATTTGTCTTTAATAATTCAAATTGTGTGAATTTAATAGAATTCTGTTGTATTTTTGTTAGTTTCGCAGGAAATTCTAAGCTAAGATTCTTGAGGATAAGGATTGAAGAAAGTGGAAGATTTGAGCTTAAAAGATCAAGAATCAAGTGATATGTGCTAGGTGTAGCAACTTTGGGTGCATAGTGTTTAACACTTTGAAGAAGGAAATCCATAAAGATCAATTGTGTAACAACTCTAAGTGCTGAAAGTTACCACTCTAAGAACAGAATTCATGAAGGGTCTTGCGCGTCAACACTCTTGCTAGTGAAAGTAGCTACACCCAAGGCTAATTTGTCTAGAAACCTTGCGTGTAAACACTCTTGCTACTAAAAGTAGCTATGCATAGTTGCGCGTAACCATTCTTCACACTAAACACATGCGCGTGGACACTCTTGCTATTGAAAGTGTTTATGCAAAGCATCAGAATTTGGGAAACTGCTTTTAAGTGTTAACTTTGGGCGTTTAAAGTTCCTACTTCAGCCTTAGAAGAAGAATCTGAATTATTCATCACAAAATGGAAAAAGAAAAGTAATACACAAACAATTATGAACATATACATATTTTTATGTTTTCTTTGTTTAGTTCAGCAAGAAATATGATACAATTCAGCATATGAATCAAGAGGTGAACCACTAGGAATTCAATTTATCAAGAATTGAAGGCATTCATGTATGAAAATTCCATGAGTTCATCAATCTCCATCAAATTCAAAAAATATGTCCCTTATAATCTCTCTCATTCTCAACCAATTGCTCAGTTTTAACAATTAATTTCAAACATCATGCACTTAAGAACAACAATGAACATTTCTCTAATTCCTCAACTTAAGAATTCTAAAATCAGAAATGCAAGGTTGGATAAAGATTTACCTAGATTGAAGGTGCATATGCAATGTAGAAGTGATGTAATTGGTTTGATACCCAAAAAAATTTGGAATTAAATGCTCAATGTTAAGGGGAAAAAAATAGAAAGCAACAAAAAAATGATGAAGTATTTATGTGATTGTGCTAAAGCATGTAACTACTCTTGGTAAGAAGAATGGATGTTCCAGCAATTATAACAACCCTTGCAGACCTTTTAAGCTTGTGCCTAACCACTTTTTAGGCTCAGAGTGGAAGTTCCAGTAAACTACCAGTTTCACTGCCAAAAGCAATTGTAAAACAACCAGAAACTCAAATCATGCAGAAAAATAAAACTAAAAACCAAAAATTGAAAAAAAAATGAAACGAAAAGAAGTGTGAGTTGCTTCTCACAAAGTGCTCTTTTAACGTCACTAGCTTGACGCCTATTGATCTTTGATTTCAAGAGATAATTTTGATGATAATGACTCTTGCTCTATCTTTAAACGTTTTTCCTTTTTCTCACCAAC